AACTCTACTGGGATGTATGGCATACACTCTGGTTCTCTTGGTATTGGAACTTTATCAGACTCAGACATAATCTAAAAATTTTAAACTTAAAAATGTTGCAACAGCATAATTATATAAGTACAAGTTTAAACAATAACAAACATTTTAAAACTTTTAATCAAATTTGAAATATATAATTTTACCATGTAGGCCTATATCTCTAGAACAGGGGTTCTCAAACTTTCTAATGCTGTGACCCTTTTAATACAGTTCCTCGCCTTGTGGCGACCCCCAATCACAAAATTATTTTCGTTTCTTCTTCATAATTGTAAAGTATAGGCATTTTCTACCAAATCATTTAAGCTATTTATTCACTGTGCTCCATTTATGCTCCTTAATAATATTTTAAAATATTGACATACATATTTTAAACGCAAGTTGGGGGAATATATAATTTAAATCAGAAAAAATTTGAATAGGGCCTTGTTTTTATTAGCAGTGAAGAGTAAAATAAGACATTTTAAATTAAATAATTATTCTTTAATAGACTGATTGTTTTCTCAATAATTCAATAGTGCTTCTTTTTTTCTCTCCCAGATAAAATGGCTAGAAACAGAGAGTCAAATAGAAATGTTGGTAATACAACAGCTGAAGCCACGAAGGAGGCTGTACAACATGTTTTGGAGGAGGGAAAATCTCTTCGGACTGTTAGCAAAGACACCAACATTATACTTTCAAGTCTCCGCAGAAATGTAAAAAAGCCAAGCAATCTGGATTAGACCATACATTGTCATACATCGTTTTCACCAAAATATAAATACTGTCAATTTATGAAAATGAAGTATGAAGAAGAGTCATTGTTAAATTGCCCAAGCCATTGCTCCACGGAGGGACAGCTCGAGTTGCTCGCCATTTCAATTTTAATGTTAATTTATCCGCATATGGCAATTTTCTACATTGATTTTTTGCAATTATTGTTTGCTAGTCATTGTATATGTCATAATTTAAATTGTTTGGTGTTACAAATAAATAAATTATTCATTTAAAAATTGTTTGCCTACATTTTTAAGAGCTTATGAGTCTATGGTTTAAAAAAATAAGTAGGTTGTATGACTGTTTATATTTAAGTTTATATAAGGTTCTCATATGAAAAATAACATTCAGTGCAATAATTGCCGTAAATTCAATACCCTCACTATAATTTAAGTCAATTTTAATTAAGCCACAGATAATGATTCATTTTCCATAGTGATTCACTGTGCCCTGGTACCGGGGCACAGTGAATCACTTACCCCTGGCCCCTGCACACTTTGAAATGCTCTGTGAGCAAGAATATTATATTTAGCAACATTTTTTAAGGATTCCTATACAAGTCCATGATGTAATACAATCATTGTGGACATAAAACATTAAAATATCTGTGAAAACTTTTGGAATTTGGAATATTAATAAAAATACGATTTCTGATCCACTGTGCCCCGACTCCTCCTATGTGTTTTCCAATGGTCTAAGGCGACCCCTGGGCAAGAGTCGTTCGACCCCCAAAGGGGTCGCGACCCACAGGTTGAGAACCGCTGCTCTAGAATTAACCAGTGAAACAGTCACTTGCGATAATTATTTTTTTTTATATTTATATCATCCATTCATGTAAATGTAAGTTTTGAACAGTACACTGTACAGTAAACGTCTTTATTAGTTTTAGGCATAACCAGAATTCATAGATCAGAACATTCAATACTCACTAGTGACTAGTTGATTGACAAGTTTGACACAAGTGAACTAAACTAGAAAAAGAAAAGTAATTATTAAAGTAAGTCGTAAATAAATAGCAACTTAGACTTAGTAGGCTAATTCTCAAATAACCAAAGCCAAAACTTAAAGTAAAAGTATAGGCCTACTCAACGACACTTCTACTTCTTGACTGACACTATCTATCAATAAATGATTTACCAACTTAAAATAACAACTTACACTACACTTACAGTCTTACAGTGATATTCGAAATACTTGAATAAGTCGTCTAAGTCTAAGTCTATGTCAAGTAGTATTATTATCATAAAATGATACTACACACTAGTTCTGGTACCCTAGTTCTTACTATTTTTATATTTATAGATCTACTTACTATCAACTATATTATTATAGTTTAAATTATAATAATAGGCTTAATTACTAGGCCCTATGCCCATCTTATTGGTTACTTATTAATATCTGCTAGTATGGCCATGGCGACTATGTCACTATGGCAACTCAACTATCACCATCCTCGCCATGACCCATGGTGAATAATATTGATATTGATAAATTTAAATAGAAGATAGATTCTACCACTTTACTAGACTAGGCGAAGTGACAGGTCAAAATTTAAAAAAAAAAAAATAGTACCGGCATCGGTAATCGGTACTATTGACTTTTTATTTTTTATTAATAATTAATAGTAATTATATAGTATGATTTGATTATTGAATGACTATGAATATGATTAATATTATATTATTTCATATTATGAATAAGATGAATAATGATACAAAATACAAATACAATTATTAAAACAATTAGAATTTACAATGTTAATTGTTAATAATAATTAATGAAATAATGATCAATGATAAAATATAATATATAATAATAAATAAATAAAATATACTTAGTGATTGTCACATTTATTATTCACATGTTACATATCATACTCATACTAAGACTAAGAATCATACAGCAGTTACCAATTACTGCTACAGGTCAGTCATACAATTATTAATTTGAGTGAGACAATAAATGAGTATGAGTAATTAGTGTTTTTGAATCGTATCAAATAGTATCATTGGCTTTGAAGTTGGTTAGTTGTGATTTTCTCTTTACATAATACTATTAGTAATAGGGTTAACTCAACTTTGGCGTTATAGCCAATATTATATCTTAGATTGGGATGAATTTAATAATAGAGTAGCCTACCAAATAACACACCTAACACTGACCAAAGAAAAAAATAATGAAGGGAAATTTTGAAATTTACAAAGACAATTTTCGGATATTCCCGAAAGTTTGAAACGGTGTTCTACAAATAATACCACCTAAGAATTATTCCCGTTTAAGAAAGGATTACTAAATATACCTTTATAAACCTGTAATTCGCAGGATTCTTGAAACCTTTTAAATTCTCGGCACCTGTGTTTCTTTCAGGCATCTCCCCGGGCTGTGTTTTTATTTTCAATACTAGTTAGTAATTTCAAAATTTGGTAATTTCTGCTGATATCCCGCTACATATATATAATATATATATATATATATATATATATATATATATATATATATATATATATATATATATATATATAGGCCTATATATGTGTGTGTGTGTGTGAGTATGTATGTGTGTGTGTGGTGTGTGTGTGTGTGTCTGTGTGAGTGTGTGTATTGCATAAGCCATATTACTATGTCTATCATTATTATGAAATGAGAAGTTTATCGGCCTAAATGCCCCCAAGAATCATGTTGGAATCGGAAACCTAAAGAGAATCCTAACTAGACCCACTTGTGCTATTGACCTACTCAGTGGCGTCTTAAGGTAAGGTATGGGCACTAGCCCCATGATGTCACGCCTCTAGGAGGCTGCATGGCTCCAGGGGGGCCTCACGCCTCTAGGGGTCTTCTCGCTTCTAGGGATGATTAGGTTATGCTGCCAATAATGGCGTTCAGGGAGCGTTTTGCTCTGATCAGTCTACCCGGCTTCTGTGGGTGCCTGCTGGGATGGCCGGCACCAGTCCCATGATCACTTTATATAAGAATATCAGGCGGAATTCTCTCGTCTGTCTTTAAACGGGGGGTGGGGATGTCAAATCTTTTAAAGAGTCCAGTGACGAAGCCAGAAGTGGTGGATTTGTAGTCTCGAGCGAGAAAACGCACCTTACCATCACCCAGTTAAAAAATATTCGTTTATTGGGAAAACGAGGTTAAAACTTAAAATCTGGAAATTCAAAGTTATTATTAGATATTTGAAAAATATTTTAACACAGATTTTAATTTTCTCAAAGTTTAAACAAACATTTAAAACAAGCCATTTTAAGCTGACTTGACTGCTTAGCAAACGCTTTTATGTAGTTGTTAGGAGAAATCAAGGCACCGAATGTTCCCGAGCCAAACCAAAGTGAGAGCAGGGCTCTGATGAGAGGCTCACTGAGGAGGGGGCTCCATCCACCCGAAAAAGGTTTTGATCAATTCAAAATACAAGGACTCAGTTTGGCGCAAACCTGAATTTCATTGTTCACCAATCTGCACTAAGCTGATTGATTAACAGAAAAAATGATATGAAATTTAAGTGTCCCTTGACCTGGTCGTGTTGATACAAATCTTTTAGTTTTAATTTGTTTCTAACGAATAATGTTTTACAATAAATATTTAAACTATTATAAAACAAGTAAACCCTTTCATTTGTTTCAACTTTTTCATTGGTAATTTTTTTTTTTTTGTTTATAGTTCCAGCGCGACATATCGATGCTTACTTAACGTTACCAAAAAAATAAAAAATAAAAAGCTAAGTGACTTAACGCATAGACATAGATATATATAATTAAAGCACAAGGGACGCTATTAGAAAGTTTAACCAGTTAACAAAATTACTACGCTCCGGGGGGGAGTTAGAGCATATGCCAGACACGGTGCCATTCAACCTTCGTTATTTCCAGGTTTGACTATGCTAAAAAAACACACAAAAAAACAAAAAAACACCGTGTTTTCGAGGAGGGGGGCGGGGGGTGATAAACTCAAAGACCGGCTCGGGTGGCATAAAGTCTCACTAGGCCACTGCTTAGACGTTGGAATGGTAAATGGTCACCTTTAGTCAATGACCATCCTTTTATATCTTTTTTTACACGATTATTTCACAAACCATCTAATTGGAATGTTATTGTTGTAACTGAATGAACCTAGAACGTAAACACTGTCTGTTACATTGTTAAAAGTTTATGTTTAAATTTAAAATTAAAAAAAATATATAAAAAATTAGGACAAATTCTGACAAAATGTACACAAAAAAGGCCACAAGTATATGTACATATTAATAATTTATTAAACTTATAATAACTATTTCTGGAACACGTGAAAACTTATTTAATTATAAAGGAACGAGATGTTTGGTCAGAAATACATTTATTTCAACTCGATTCTTTCAAGCCGGGAAGCTAAATTATAATAAAACCAAAGAGTAGCACACTGCACGCATATCCGAATGTTTAATAAAGATGGAGCTTCTATTTCTAATCAATCACTAAGCTCCTAGTCGATGAACAACAATGTGAAGTTTATCAACGGGGATATCCAGTCCGTAGGTCTTCAATGACTTATCGTCCTCCAGCAGTGTGTCGCCGTGTTTCCAAACTTGATTTTCCGCCGGACCAAGCTGCAGTGAACGATACAAGGCATATTTAAGTTAAATAAGACTCCATGTTACTAAGATGCCACACATTAGGCTGCATTACTGTTTGTATGTAGATGAATAAAAAAAACTATAAACTAATGTATGGAAAGTAAACACTTAAGAATAAATTTACTAAAATCACTGTTTTATATGTGTAACTTTCTGTGAGACTTAATTAAATAGCTTACGTTGTCTTGCAAATCTTCCTTAAGTGCAATTATATCCATCACTGTGTCGCAATCAGCCTGCATTAATATGTGGTATGTATAAATTAACAGTGTGTCGTAGTAACCAAAGAGAAAATAAAGAAATAATCAATTGTATGAAAAACCCCAAAGCCTCTTGAGAAGACTTCATCACAGTAGAACTGATTAAATATGAGGAAGAGAACTACACACTCAGACACATAAACTTATAACTAAAATATGGCGAGAAGAGTAAATTACAACATAATGGGACACATCATTAATAATCCCAACACACAAGAAATGTCCCAAGCTATAATGCACAAATGCCATTTGACATTCGGCTCGGGGAGGACTTCGTTGTTTTACGTCACAGTTTTCTAATAATAATACATCTTAATCCATTAAGGGAAAAATTTAAAGAATAAAATAAAATCTTAGTTTAGTTATGAACATTTTATGTATGTTTTGATTTTTTTAGGTGTGACGTGGCACTTCGGGAGGGGGGGGGATAAAGAATTTGTGACACTTTGTAACGGGGGGGGGGGGGGGGGTCGAAAAACGCTATTTTTTGAGTGACTTAATTTTCAAACGACCCCATGGTCACGTGTACTAAGTCACACGTCATGTGTACTACATCATACGTGGCTAAGTTAAAAATTGTAATTTAAGGGGATATTAAACGGCAAAATAATATCGCTAACATCATAACATGACATGACACATCAAAAACATCCTGACATGACACATCACAAACATCATGAACTGACACATCACAAACATCATGATTACCTGACACATCACAAACATCATGACCCGACACATCACAAACATCATGACATGACACATCACAAAAATCATGACCTGACACATCGGAACGACATGACGTCATCTGACCGTGACAGCAAAAACTTCGTTCTTACCTCATGAATTCCAATGGCATGAGCGGCATTCAGATTTGGATTCGGCGTCAAGTGAAATTGAACACGAACATAAGGCACAGACTCTTGCTTCCTCGGGATTGGAACTTTGTCGGACATTGCGTTGTGATAAGTAGGCTACTACTGGGGAAGCAATGACGAACACCTGGGATGAGACAAACGGATTTTCTTTTTCTAAAAATGTTATTAGAAAAATTAACCTCTGGTTTCAAATCGCATCTTTATGGCCTTATGTTACATTATAAAGCTTCAAAACTATTAAGAACAAAAATATATATATAAAACAACACCAAAACAAAACAACTTCATTAATCCATTTGATACATGAGTAGATGTGCAAAAATTTTGCAACCCTCCTTAATTAAACTGAAATTGCTGTTCTTTGTCTTTGTCAATAAATAGATGGTTGTGTCATACAAAAAGTACAAAAATATTAAACTCCAACAGCTGAACAAATAGAAAATATCTGATGGCATGAGAGATAGCGATAGCGTGAAGCCGAAAGATGATTTTAATTGTCCTGTCTTTTCATTTTAAGCCAAAAACATACCCCATTGTTCCATCAATCCCTAAAAAATATTTACCGGCACTTATTCTGGTATTCTGTCAATGGACTTTCTTATTCTAGTTAAGTTAAATGGAATATATAATAGTTAGAAGAATAAAGTCGTTAAAAATTAAATTTAAGAACAACAACCTAAGCATTAATATTGAAATACTTACCAGATAAAGACGTAATATTATTCTTGGCTTAAAAGTAAGTTTTGATGATGTTTTCTAGGCTGAAGTTTTAAAATGATTTCATAGCGACATCAAGACACAAGGAGATTAAATTTAAAGTAAAAGATATATCGGGATAATCCGATTATAAAATATTTTTTACTTTCTTATTTTATCAGGAACACGTCATTTCCAAACATTCCCCCAACTCTACTGCCATCACTCCAATCCCTACCCAACTGTTTCCGAATTTTTAGATTCTTAAATTCAAAACACTTTATTCTGTATAAATAGTTACCCTAATAGTTAAGTATAAAATGGCTCATAAATCGAATATCAAACTTTAAACAAATTATGTTTGTTAGTAACTAATAAAGATTAAAACCATTTTATGTTTTTTTTATACTTCGATTGATTGTCATGGAGAAATAACAAGTTTTTTCCGTTTTCGTATTTTTAGAATCGGAAATTTAAAATAAAATGCTGATATTTGAAGTGTCATATTAGTATTACAATAATTAAATTCTTTAAATTTGGCTCAAGTTGCAATCTCTGAAACAATTAGTAATGCAAATTTAATATATTTTCCTCTCAAAAACATAACCAGGAGCGTTTTAACAAATAATAAGAAGTGCTGGCTTAACTAAAAAAATCTTGACTGATAAAGGCATTGGGAAACCCCTTATAAATTACAATATCGAAAACGGAAGAGTATGGACCCATTTTCAATATCATGGCGGCGTCCTTCGTATTCCTATATCCTAGTTTAATTATTTTTTAATCTGTAAAAAATATAAAAAAATAAAAAAATTCCAACGTGCTCGTCACTGCTTTAATATTTTCCCAAGACAACTAATGCTCACCTCATGGCTTTATAGCTTTAATATTGCTGCTTGTCATTAAGCAAATTAAACCGTTGACAAAGAAAATTATTTTTTACAAAAGGGTAAAGTAGGCCCATGTCCATGTGTTAAAGGTTTTAAGTACTCATCAATATTAAACTATTCTGTTTATGCACTCAAAACAAGGTGGTACCCCGTATTAATGCCACCCTCCGCGCTGGACCAAAATTGATTCCTCCTCATCAAACATAATATTATTAGTTCTTAAAGTCCTACGTTTCTTTATATATATATATATATATATATATATATGTATATTATAATTTAAATGGTTGTGACTGCAATCTTTCCTTTGACTTTAATCCATCAAATAGCAAGATTTGTGAACCATTCATGGAGCACATTTGACAGATAACGTCTCAGGAGCCAGAGGTTGCCAATTATAAATATATATGTATTATTTCCTGAATCCATTCGTCTTTGAAAGAACGCAATAAACGAACCCTTGATGCTTAGATCTGGTTTTTGCCTTTTACTAAAGTATAACTGTTCAACAGACTCAAATTATGTTTGCTTTAGTCGAGCACTTCAAGCGGCTGATTTTAAAAAAACAACAAAAAAAAAACGACGAATCAGAGTGCATTAATTGAATTTGCATTACTATAGAGCAGCAGTTATTAATCGTTTTGACTCGAAGACCCATTTTGAGTATACATTTCTATGGGGCCTGTCCCTGACTGCATCAAATCCAGCTACGCCACTGATTTGTTATTTAACCTGAACAGTTTAAGGGTTAATATGTAAGCTTGCTGCTGAATGTGGACACATTGTTTAATCTGGACACATTTTTTAAAATATTTTTAAATAAAAAATGTTGCTTAGCCTTGACATTGTATTGTTAAACCTGAACACTTTTTTGGGTTAACCTATACTTTTAATTCGCCACCTGTACACTTCCTTGTTTGATCTATAGACAGTTAATTGCTTATCATGCATACGTTATTCTTTAACCTTTATAATTTTTTTTTTTTAAACTTCGACCATTCATCTATTTTTCCATCTGAATGAAAAGTCAAAAGCTCATCCTTGAAGATGGATTGACTTTACTGTACTTAGTGACCCGATTATCAGGTTTACAACTTGTACACTATAGAATATTTCAAAACTTTATCTAAATGTCATCCTCTACTTTTGTATGCACGTGGAACAATATTACGATAGTCTTCCCCTGGCTTGTCCAACCAATAGTCAGCCAATGATACGATAGTCTTCCCCTGGCTTGTCCAACCCATAGTCAGCCAATGATACGATAGTCTTCCCCTGGCTTGTCCAACCCATGGTCAGAAAATTATCATTTTTAAGAAGAACAAAAAAACAAAACCAAAATAACCTAATTCTGAAATGAATATTCCCCCCCCCCTCTCCACCCTTTTTTCCGATTATCTTTGAGACCCTTATTGTCCACATGTGTGTAGCAGTCAGGAGAGCGGTCTAAACTGACTCAATCAAAATAGCTGGTGGTCTGGAGTTCGAACCCCACTAAAGCCACCATTCCAAGCAACCCGTTATAAATGGGACACGTTAGCCTTGGACGGCAACTCATCTAAGAGAAGGCCAACTCTGAATTCAAACCAGGAGACAAAATGATCAATAAATCGATCGCGGGCCCTCAAATATAAAAAAGAAATAATAAAATAACACAATTTAAAAAAAAAAATAACTTGAAATTTATTGGGACAATTTTGCAAATCAGGATCATTGGTTCCTCTATTTATTCTTACTTCATTAAGCTTACAAATTTGATATACTGTAATGTATAGGCCTACCCTTTATGTGGAATGGTACAATGGCAGCCTTTGGTCAATGACCAAAAATACAAAAAAAAAATAAAAAAAAAAAAAAAAAAAAAAAAAAAAAAAAACAAAAAAAATCATTTATTAAAGTTACCAAAACATCTCTTAAACGCGTAAAGAAATATTTAAGTTTAAAGAAATTAGATTTTTAGTCTAACATCTTCTTTCAATTTGAGGAGCTGATTTATAATAAACCAAACAGTAGCACCGTGTACGCATGTCCAAATGTACAATGATAATAAGGATCTTATAAGTTTCTTATCAATCCCTAAATTCATAGAAGCTGAACAACAATGTCAAGTTTATCAACAGTATCAAGTCCATAGGTCCTCAATGACCTATCGTCCTCCAGGATCGTATCTCCATGTTTCCAAACTTGCTTTTCAGCAGGACCAAGCTGCAATGAATGATACAAGGAATATTTAACTTCATATGAAGACTCCATGTTAACAGGCCAGTCACACATTTAGGCTGCGTTACTGTTGTTATGTATGCTTATCAAACTATTTATACAGTAATGTAAAATAACATGGAAACAATTGTGAAATAAATGTACTAAAATTACTGTTTTATAAATGTAACTTAATGTGAGACTTAATTAAATAGCTTACCACGTCTTGAAAATCTTCTTTAAGTGCGATTATATCCATCACTGTGTCGCAATCAGCCTGCATTAATATGTGGTATGTACAAATTAAAAGTATGTCATAATAGCCAAATACTGACACATGTATGTTTCCCCCCCAAAAAAACAATGAACAGTTAGCAAAAATAATCACATAACGTTTTTTAAGTTTACTTGTAAGGCCTTTTTTTTTTTTTTTTTATACACATTTCTCCCACGCCAAGTGAACAATAATTCCGTCTAGTTTCCGTTTGCAAAAATGAACAGTTAGCAAAAATAATCACATAACGTTTTTTAAGTTTACTTGTAAGGCCTTTTTTTTTTTTTACACACATTTCTCCCACGCCAAGTGAACAATAGTTCCGTCTAGTTTCCGTTTGAAAACAACAGGCAGAAATACTTCGTTCTTACCTCATGAATTCCAACGGCATGAGCGGCATTTAAATTTGGATCCGGGGTCAAGTGAAACTGGACGCGAACATAAGGCACAGACTCCTGCTTCCTCGGGATTGGAGTTTTATCGGACATTGCGTTGTGGTCAGTACTACGGTGGAAGCAATGGTAGGACGGAGACAAACGATTTTCGTTTTCAAAGCTAGAATAGAAGGAAAAGATTCCAAAAAAAAGGTTATTAGACTAAATAGCATCTGATTTCAAATTGCATGTTTATGACCTGATATTTTTTTATAAAGCTTTTAAACTTTAAAAAAAAAAAAAAAAAAAAAAAAAAAAAAAAAAAAAAAAAAAAAAAAAAAAAAAAAAAAAAAAAAAAAAAAAAAAAAAAAAAAAAAAAAACAAAAAAAAAAATTTTATAAAAAAAAAAAAATTATTTTTAAATATAAATTTTTAAAAATAAAAATTTTTTTAAAAAATTTAAAAAATAAAAAAAAAAAAAAAAAAAAAAAAAAAAAAAAAAAAAAAAAAAAACTTGAATAATCTATTGATAACACAAAAAAATTTTAAAAATAAAAAAAAAAAAAAAAAAAAAAAAAAAAAAAAAAAAAAAAAAACTTGAATAATCTATTGATAACACAAGTCGAAGTGCAATTGACAATAGGAAATAGCAATAGGCAATAGGCAATAGGCAATAGGCTTTGAAACCCCCATGTAACTACGGTATTCTTTTGTATTAAAAAAAATAATTGTTCTTTTTTATTCCATCATACACACAGTACATGAATCTAAACCTCCAACAACTGAACGCTCAGAGAATATCTGATGGCGTGAGTGTGAGAGATTGCGTTCAAGCTGAAACGTCAACGTGCTCTTAGTTTTCCTGTCTTTTCATTTCTAGCCTATAAACATATCTTGTTCCACCAATCCCTAGAAAATATCACACCCCGAGCGTATTCTGGCATTCTTTCTACAGACTTTCTAGAAGAAGAAAAATGTAATGGCTAGACCAGTGGTCGGCAAATCGCGGCTCGCGAGCCGCATGCGGCTCTTTAGCGACCTAAGTGCGGCTCGGCCAGTCGGCTACAAATCGGTTTTGACTAAGAAATACATGGTTCTTGAGTGGTTCCTGAAAAGAAATTTGGCTCTCAAAATTTTTTAATCGTCCTGCTGCTGATTTTTGGCTCTTTTGAGTAATGAGTGATCACCTAATGTGAGTTTGCCGACCACTGGGCTAGGAGAATAAAATCGTCCAACAATCAAATTTACGAACAACAACCTTAAATACTTACCAGATAAAGATGTAATATTATGCGTGGTTTAAAAGTTAATGTAAGTTGTGATGATGTTTTATAGGCTGGATTTTTTAAAAAAGAATTCTCAGTGACATCAAGACACAACATGATTTTAATTTAATGCCAATATATATCGGGACTACCCGATTATAAAATATTTCCTCACTTTTTTTTTTTTTACCAGGAATACGACATAGGAACCGCCCATCCTAAAATTTCCCCATACACTAGGGTGACCAAATCATGAACTGGAAAATACCGGACACACCCAAGGAGGGTTTTGGGGGATACCCGCCAGCTAAAGAAGGGGTCCGCCTAGAAACTGTTTATTGAAATATACTTATATTAACTATTTTGAGACCTAGAAATCTTTTTAAATTCACCTACACTCTTGTAATTTAATTTAAAT